AACCTGAACAGCTTCCTCCTAATGAACTTGACCCTTGCTAGTCAGCCAGGTCAGATCAGTTCTCCCTATCCAGGCATGGCCTGTCCTGGTCCTCTCTAGCCTGGCTTCCTTTAGAAGGTGAGATACTCAGGAAAGAGTCCAGGAGACAGGTCTCGGGTTGGCCCTGATGCCCTAGGGCACGTGAGCAGCCCTACTTGGAATCATAGGGTATTGGACAACGCCCAGCTCTTCAGACGTATTCTCTAAAACTGTCTCCCACAGTGAGCAGACCCTTCTGATCAAAGGGACCCCGTTCCCACCCCTGCCCCTAGAAGAAGTACGCACCAGGAGGTGCAAGCTGAGCTCCCTCTGAGAAACGTCAAGGAGCGCTGTTTCCCCACCCCCCAATCCACACAGCACCTTCCAAACTCCAGTCCACAGGGGCTTAGAGGCCATGCAGACACTATGCAAGCAGGTGGCACCAGTGGTAAAGCACACTTCCACAGAGCAGAGGATGTAGGTGGAGGGGTCCAGGACTTTGTGGAGGAAGTGAGCATGCAGCTGTGCCCTGAGAGATAAGCAGGCAGATTCTACCGAGAAGAGCACAGGTGTCAATAGAACCACCCAGGGCTGCCCCAGGATGGTGTGCTGGAGAATTCCAGGCCCAGAACCAAGTAGGGACTCTCACCTGCGATCTGTCCAAGCCATCTATGGGCCCTGGATGAGTTGCCACACCTCCCTGGGCCGGGCACTTGAACTGTTTTCACTTCCAGAGAGCCTCCAACCTCCATCCCACATTCCACATCCTCCCTTTCCTTCACGTGAACCACACGCAGCTCAAATCCCACACTGGCTCTGCAGAACCCAGGCTGCACCCTTTCTCCCCTCCACTGAGTCTTCACTATGCCCAGCAGGCATCCCTTGGGGCTGTATGTCGCACCTGGTCTCCAGGGCTTCTTATCTGCAGTCCTTCCTGGGAAGTGGAGAGCATGGGCCCTGCTTGCGCCCCAAGAAGGGTGATCTTGCATCCTCACTGCCATCCCAGAGGGGATGACTAGCATACTTGGGGATCCAGATGGGGCTACATTCCAGATATTAGGCTCTTTCCAAGGACAGGAGCCACAAGTGGGAATCTAGATTGCCACGTACCTAGGGAAGGGCCAGACACACCTAGCTTGGATACTATTTGCCAACTCAAAGTACACCTGAGATTAGAAAGGTCTGGGTCGGTGGCGGGGCTACTGGGGCAGTAGGGGGGGCGGGTACTGCTTTTGTGGGATAGCTGTTCCTGGGACATCTTACGTGGCTGAAGTGGTGACTGAGGGACTTCTGGCTAGGGGACCAGGAGCTGGCCTCCAACCTCCTTCCTGCCCAGTCATCCTAGAATCTAAGAGCAATCTCCTGGTTAGTGTGGGCAGGTGGCTGAAGATCCCTGACCCTAGTTTAGGGCCCGGCGGCTTGGCCTAGCAGCTAAAGTCCTCGCCTTGAATGTGCAGGGATCCCATATAGGCGCCAGTTCTAATCCTGGCAGCCCCACTTCCCATCCAGCTCCCTGACCCTAGTTTATCTTTACCATAACCTTGAAGAGAAAGGCCAGCAAGGAGGCAGGCCTAACCCCAACATCAGAAGCCAGAAGCCCTTAAGAGTCACTCACAGACTGGGCTCCCCAACCATAGACTTCTCTCTGTAGAAGAGGAAACCCAGGTCATAAGGAGAGAAAAGGATTATACAGGAAGCTTTGGCCAGGAACCAGGACCATGCCGAGATGGCTCTGCCCCCGAGTAAGGGCACTTAATACACTGGACAAAACCCAACACTGTGCAAGGGCCCCATTGCTGGGAGTCAAGTGGCATCAGCCTTTGAGATTCTGGGCCTGGCACCAACTGGTCCAGCCTCCTCTCCAGCTGCCCAGCACACAGGGCCCATGACTGTTCAAAGGAAGCCAGGCTGGCAGATGCCAGAGGGCAGGGACAAGGCTGCTGAGGGCTGAGGAGGAAGGATGGAGCACATGGGCCCAGCAAGGTGGCGCAGTGGTTAAGGTCCTCACCTTGCACGCCCAGGATCCCATATGGGCGCTAGTTCTAATCCCGGCAGCCCCGCTTCTCATCCAGCTCACTGCCTGTGGCCCGGGAAAGCAGTCGAGGACGGCCCAAAGCTTTGGGACCCTGCACCCACGTGGGAGACCCGGAAGAGGCTTCTGGCTTCGGATCGGCATAGTATCGGCCGTTGCGCTCACTTGGGGAGTGAATCATCGGATGGAAGATCTTCCTCTCTGTCTCTCCTCTCTGTATATCCGCCTTCCCAATAAAAATAAATCTTTAAAAAAAAAAAAAAGGATGGGTAGAGCCAGGCTTGGGTTTCCCAAGCAGTCACAGACTGTCTACCTCGGATATGCCTGCATCACCTGTCACAGGACCATCTCTCTGCAAGTGGGGCAAGGGTTCTAGACTGATGGAAAAACAAGTCATGGGGCATTGGCAGGGCAGAGGTGTGGACATTGAGTGTGACCAAGAGCTAAACTGCAGAAGTGTCATTTGCGGCTTATGCACACACACAGTTATAGGGTGTAACTCCCTCACTAAAAAACTCCAGATTCCAAGTGTAAACCACAATGATTGCCACCATTGTCACCAGTAGCAGCAGCTGACATTTATCAAGCTCTGCTTACAAGCAGCTGCTGTGCTCGGAGCTTTACCTACATCAGCTTGTTTAGTCCCCACAGTGCTGTCAGGTGAATCCCCTGGTCTCACTGTGCAGAAAGGCTGAAGGGAAGAGAGGCCAAATCACTTGTGCAAGAGGAAATAAGAGTTCATTTAGCCAGACCCCAGTTCTTACCCATCCACAGGAACTCCCCAAAGTCCCGAAGACTTTGCTCCCAAAGAAATCAACATGCTTCTTTCTTAAGAGCAGGGCCAAGAAGAGAGTTCCAGGTTGGGCACATCTGTCCACTGGTCACAGGTGTTGGATACATAGTTATGGAGAGTGAACTTTTATTGAGCACTTAGCATAGCTTGGACACACAGTGGAGTGCTTTGTACACATCCTTTAACAAGACTTTTAGACACGATTTTATGTGTACCATTCATATTTTAAATGTGTACCATTTTTATGTGTATCATTTATATTTGTTCTAGTTTAGGAACTAGCTACGCTTAGCAGTAGGTATCATCATCATTATCATCCCTACGTTAGGGCTTAGAAGTAAATAAGTAGACAAGCAGCCAATGTATAAAGTCTACCCTTCTGACAGTCTGGATTCTTATCCACAATCTCATTATGAAACTCTGCAGGTCCACTTGACAGTTCTTAACTGCACATCCAGTTTTTGGACCATCCTTGCCTATTTTCCCAAGAGTTCTGCTTCAACCAACAGCTCTGGCTTAGGTAAGGGGAGAGCTGCAGAGAGCCCTCCCCCCAACAACCACCCCCATCCTCCTCCACCCTGGGAGGATCATGGTCCAGCTCCTTAGCCTCCTCCAGGGAGCCAGGGTGGGCAGAAGCGATGCCTCCAGCCCTGCACAAGCACAGGAACCCCTGCCAGCACACACCCACCAAGTGCGGCTGTGGCTGCACAGCTGCACATTTAGCTACAGCTGTGACGGCATCTTCAGGCTCATCCTGCTGAGCGCAGTTCCATTTTCTGGGCACTTTTAGAGCCGAGTCCTAACTCCAGCACAGGGCTGAGAGAGGAGATAAGGGAGGAACATGCAGATGGGCCCAGCTAGCACAAGAGCCTGTGACCTCAGAGTGTGGCTCACGGACTGCTTGGGAGGCTTGCTCTGTGGACTTCCCCCAGCGTCCCACACAGTCCAGAACTTCAAGTCTTGTGCATCTCACCTCCACACCAGCCTCTTCCTCACACCTTGGAGCCCAGAAGGGTGATGCGCTAAGTGCTTTGGGGAGTAAGAGCCAGAACCCCAGGACCTCAGCTCCACACCTGAGGCAAATTTTTCAGTACAGGTCACCTGGCAACATCTGGTCAAGGTTTCCAGGACAGCACAGGTGCTAGGGATCAGTTCTGGATTGAAACTGAAGGACCAGTCTTCACCAGGTACCCATCAGGCCAAACCTCACCCTGGCCCGACTCTGCCTAGCTCCTTAGGGGAAAGGGGAGGGGGGCAGAGCTGGGTCCCTCTCAGGAAGGACCCTGATTGGACAGGAGCCACCCAATGACTCCGGTGTTCCAAGGGAGACAAGAGAAAGCTTAAGGATGCCAAGCCCTAAAAGACCAAGTGCAAGGCCCAATTACAGCCACCTCACACATGTGTGCTGCCGGGTCGACTCTTCATCCTCTCTCAGAGCCTCGGGGCTGCTTCCTCCCCCGGGTCCGCAGGAGAAAGGGAACCAAGCAGAGAGCCCGGGAACACGCACCCCAGCTTCCACTTTGCCCTGGCACCTACATGCAAACGAACTCATCCGCTTTCCCTGCTTCTAGCCCCATCTTTCTAATTCTTCCTTACCCCACCCCACCCCCGCCCAGGAAGTGTCCCGAAGCCTGAGCACCCGCGGCGCCCCGACTTTGGGCCCCTTTCCCGGCTCCCCCAAGTCCCGGACCGTGCGCGCCCGCCGCAGTGACTCATCCTGCCCCTTTCCGGTGAAGCCCAGACAAGGGAAGAAAATAAATGCAACTTTCCAAAGAAAACTCTGACGCGGGAGGCTGCACCGGGACGCGAGCGGCGCGCCAGGCGGCTGGCCGGCCCGGAGCTCTGGGGAGGGGCTGCTCCCCGCCCACCGCGCCCCGGCCTGGGACAGCCGAGTTGGGGGACCCGCGCGCCTTGAGCCCAGCCCACCCTGCGCGCAGAAAGCTCAGCTCCGAGGGCACCCGAGCGGGCGCCGGCACTGCGCACCGGGCCGCCGCGGAGCGAAGTCGCGCCCCCAAGGGGTCTCCTGCGGGATCCGCGCGGGGCCCGGTGCGCAGCACCCCGGACGGCCCCGGTCCCGCGGGACGCCAAACAGGCGTCACCACGAGGTTCTGCAAGCCCCGTTCCCCTCCTTCCGCGCGCCGGGGCCCTCGCCCCTACCTGGCCACGGCGTGCGGCTGTCACCCGGGGCCGGCACGCGCGAGCTCGTCCCTCTACTCGCCCCACGCGCGCCAGCCGGCGGCTTTTAAATCTCCAGGTTACCCGGCGGGGAGGGGGGAAAGAGCATGCGCGCTGGGCTGCGGGAGGGAGGCGGGGCGAGGCCCGGCGGCGGCGGGGGTGCGGCGCGGGGGCTGGCGGGGTGGGGCCCGGACCCGCGGAGAGCGAGCGGGAGGTCTCGCCGCGGTCTTTGTAGCCGCGGCCGCGACGCGCAGCCCCCGCGTGGCTCCCAGACGGCCCTGTCATTAGCCGGGCAGAGCGCCGCCACCTCTGCCGCTTGCCGCCCAGACCCCTGGGTGCGGTGCTGTGCGGTGGGGTGGGGTAGGGTGGGGTAGGATGGAGGGAAAGCTACCCGTCTTCTAGGAGGCCCCCACTCCTCCCTCTCCTCGGTACTACGGGACCAGCACTGCCCGCACGTGTCCTTCTGGCCGGCCCCGGATTCCCCGCAGAGCTGCACCTACCTATCAGGGGGACTGTGGCTTGAAGGGAGGGAGATGCCACGTTCTCCCCAGCTGCCCCTGCCACTGTTTGCCCGTCCCCAGCCTCCTAGCGGTCCACCCAGCCCCTCTTTCTGCATACAGAAGACACATTTTCCTGTTCTTTTCCTCCTTTGGGAGGTGCGTGGGCTGAAAGTGGCCATTCTCTGGGTCAGGTGGGCACACTGGGGAGCAAGGTCCTAACCCATCAGGCGCCCAGCATGCCCTGGACAAGAGCGCAGCTGCAGGTGGGAGGCGGGTCTCAGGAGTCCAAGGCTCCGCTCTCCTCCCCAACCCCTGCCCTGGGGGTGTGATGTGGGTGTGAGCTCTTGTGTCTTTTTTTCTTCCAAAGGTGGTGAGAAATACAAGGTAGGCAAATTGTTGACAGAGGGGTATGCACAGCTAATTGAACCATGGTAACACATGTTTTTAACGTTATTGCTTTAAAAGTAATTCCAGTGTTACCTTGTGGCTGGGATGGCCCAGCTGTATGCTGTGGAAGGGTGCTATGGTGGTTGTCTCTGAGCATGTGCAGACTTTGCTCCCTGTACCCTCCAGGACAGTGTAGCAACTATTGACATTGCATCTCCATTGTATTGAGTATTATAAGGAAGCTGGCAATGATTAAAGTATGCAGAAGGACTGCCTCTATAGATTATACACAAACAGAGCAGCTATAGGCTTGACTATTTGAAGCTTCCTGGACCCAGCCCTGCCATGGACACTGAAAGACAACTCTTCCACAGAAGCCCAGGCAGATGGCTGTCCTTGAGGGTGAGGACCTGCTTGGCCTTATGCCTGACTTTGGCATGAGAGCTCTGGGTTCCAGCACTGGCTGTGTGTCGGCTGGCTGCGTGACGTAGCCTGTTCAGGGCTTCTGAGAGAGGCAGTTAGATGATCTTCAAGGGCACCTGCACCTGGGGCGCAGAAGAGCCCGAGAAGGGCAGAAGAGCCACCTCTGGTATTGGCAAGGCGGGACAGTGACTACAGGAGAACAAGAGGGAAACCAGCATGAACCCACTTTCTGGATCACTGAACAAGCTTCCCTTGGGAAATCACTTCCCTGCCCCAAAGCCTCCCTTAGAGCACACACACCTGCAGCCTGGAACCCTGGCTTTCTGAAATCCTTGCGGCTTCCCTCCGTGGCCAGCAGAGACAAGGGTGGAGTCCTTGGCCCTTGGATTGGAGTCCCCTCTGCCCCAGGAAGAGAGCAGGAGTCAAGGGGGAATTCCAGGTCAGCTGGAAAATTACAGAGGACAGTGGTATTTTCCAGACTTGGAAAAAAAAAAAGAAAGAAAGGGGGGAAAAAAAAAAGTGGGTGCAGAAACATTGTCCCACCTCAGGGAAGTAGGAGCTGCCCTCTTTTCTTGCCCAGGCCTGGGTGCCCTAAGCCCTTTGGGAAGAGGAGAGGAGAAAGTGGGCAGCCTGCCCAGGCCTTCCCAACTCAGGTAACAGGTGACTTCCTTATACCTGCCCAGGTAGCTACTCTCTCCAGGCCACACCCAGCACAGGGTGCTGCGGGCCCCTCTGCCCTAAACACCCTCTCTTCTGCTGAGGTTCCCCCTGTACTAATGACACCTGGTCACTATAGGTTATATACCACTGTCAGTGTTTGTGTATTAACACTTCCAAGCCTTAGGACAACCCAAGAGATGGGGACCATTTTCAGGGACAGCAACTGAGGCAATTCTTCAGCTACAGCTCCCCACACTGCAGCCACATGCACACAAACATGGGCTCCAACTGGGACAGAAATTCTTCACTATAGCCGGGCCAGCAAACTCAATCTTAGAAAACATCCCAATACCTGTGCTACTGCCCCCAGGCTACTGTGCGCTCCTTGGCGAATAACCATACCTCAAGGCCTTGGCTTTCCACTAAATCAACTGTCAGAAAACCACCATGCCCCTTTCCCATCTTCCCTTCTCCCTCCCCACCACACACACACACACACACCCTACTCCCTAGCCACTTCCCATTTATAGGAAATGGGGGATGATGTGAGCAGCAAGGCCATCCTTAGGGAACTGCTAATAGTCGGGTTGGATATTGGAGAAGCCAAAGATGCTGGCAAAATGCATTAGCAGCCTCCGCCCCACCCCCACCCCTACCCCTACCCCCAGACCTCCACCCACCCATCATACTTGGGCTCTAAGCAAGCATCCCCTTCCTTCTGCAGAGATAGATAAGCTAAGCAGGGGCTGCTGGGTCTTGCAGAAGGCTGAGAAGCCACGAAGGCTCATGTGTTCCCTTAGTGTTGTCTGTTCTATGTAGTGTCTGCCTGACCCGAATAGAGATGGGCCTGCCGTTTCCATTACCAGGGTGTGGTCCACCATGAAACTTCTGAGTCTCCCCTACCCACCTTGGGGGAGTGGGGAGGGAGAGGCAGGGTAGCCACTAAGAGTGAGAGCCACCAGCAGGGCCAAATCCTGGCTGTAGACATGAAAGCATGGTCCCCTGCACACAGCAGTTCTATTTCCAGGATTTTTCTTCTGGCAAAACCATATCAGATATGTGTACTAGAGATAGAGACAAGTCATCTCATCATTTTTGTAAAGTATATATTTGAATAGCAGAGTGACAAATGAGTACAATTGTTATTTTTTTAAAGATTTATTTTTATTGGAAAGGCAGACATACAGAGAAGGAGAGACAGAAAGAAAGATCCTCTATCCACTGGTTCACTCCCCAAGTGGCCACCACAACTGGAGCTGAGCCAATCCAAAGCCTGGAGCCAGGACCTTCTTCTGGGTCTGTCACATGGGTGCCAGGTCCCAAGGGTTTGGACCTTCCTCCCCTGATTTCCCAGGCCACAAGCAGGGAGCTGGAAGGGAAGTAGAGCAGCTGGGCCAGGAGCCAGCATCCATATGGGATCCCAACAGATGCAAGGCAAAGACTTTAGCCCCTAAGCTGCCATGCTGAGTCCAAATGACTGCAGTTATAAGGGCTGGGCCATGCCAAAGCTAAGAGCCGAGAATTCCATTTGGGTCTCCCACGTTGGTGGCAGGAACCCACATATGTGGGCCATCCTGTACTGTTTTTCCTAGGTGTATTTCCAGGGAGCTGGATCGGAAGTGGAATAACTGGGACTCAAACCAGGGCTCCTATGAGATTGTGGCATCATAGGTGACACCTTAACCTACTGCATGGCGAGACAAGCTGCTAGCAAATAACATTTAATGTTTCTTTTCTTCCTGTTTACAACTTTCTGATCCACATAGCGAACTTGGAGAAACTGAAAATCCCTCTTGTCCCTCCCCTAAAGCAAAACTTTCATTTCCATTCACTGAAAAAAAAAAAAAAACAGTATTCACCTTTTGGTTATGTCTTGTCATCATTTCTCCTCTGAAGATCTATAAGTAATGTATACATGTTTTATTTGGGAATCATTTTCGAGTTACAGAAAGTTGCAAATGTTACTGAGTTGCCTTGGGCCCTCACTAGTTTTCCCTAATCTAAGTATCTCACCGAACTACAGGGCAGTTATCCAAACTGAGAGAGGAATACTACTGGGGAACTGTTTACTTACAGACAGACTTCACTGACATTCCAGCTTTCCACTAATGTCTTTTTTTCTGCTCCAAGGTCTTTTCACTTTGCCTTAGTATTTATGTCATCTTATAAGATATGTATTCAGCTGTGCATTCCATTTTGTAGCTGGCTTTATTCCCTTGGTAATATATCATAGACATTCCTCCAGTCAGCCAGAAGTCACCTATGTCACCATTTTTAATGGTAGCAGTATTGTATTGTGTGTGTGTTCACCATAATTTGCTTAGTCCATGGTTTATTGTTTGACTGTTTCTGGGGCCCTGGCTTTGGCCTGGCCCAACCCTGCTCGTTGTGACCCTTTAGGGAGGGAACAAATCAATTGGAGATTTTCTGTCTATCTTCCTCTTTCAATAACTCTGCCTTTCAAATAAGTAAAAAAAAAAAAAATGAATTAAAAAAAAAAGTTTCTAACTTTCCACTGTCAGAAAGAATAGTGAGGGGTGAGAGTCATGGCCCAACGGGTTAAGTGTGTATCAAAGTGTCAGTTCAAGTTTTGCTATTCCAATTCTGATCCAGCTCCCAGTTGATGTGCCTGGGAAAACAGCAGAAGATGGTCCAGGCACTTGAGTCGCTGCCACCTGGATGGACGGTGTTCCCGGCTGCTGCTTTCATTCTGACCCAGCTCTGGATGCTGCAGGAACTTGGGGGAATGAAACATCTCTCTCTCTCTCTTCCTCTCTCTCTCTCTCTCTCTCTCTCTCTCTCTCTGTGTGTGTCTCACACACACACACACACACACACGTATATTCTCCCTCTCTCCCTCTGTAACTGGTTTTCAAATAAATGATGTGTGTGTGTGTGTGTGTGTGTGTGTGTGTGTATAGCTATGCCCCCTCTAATGGACAAGAATAAAATAAAGGAGAAAGAAAGCAGAGACTCCCCCCCCGCCCCCACTGTGATTTTCTTCCTTGTAGACCTCCTACTCCTCACCTCCATCCGGTGAGTTAGGGAACTAGCAGCTCAGGAAGCCACTGGG